TCCCTTGTCAGCATAACAAATAATATTTTCCTCTTAAATATTTAGATTAGATACAGACATGACAATATAGGAAATTACAAAAGGTGTGATATGGCCATTTCAATAATTGATAAAAGAACTAAAAATAAAAATTAAGCACGCAATGTGTTTATCATTTCATGTCAGTATGACGCAAGATTAAAGATGTCCCTCTCACCTATTCTTTTATTCCCAGCCAGTAGGAACACATATATAATTAATTCTTGTTTTATCAACCAATAATACTAATTACAACACTCAACCAAACTAGACCCGCATGAGCAGTTCAATTAATCACGAGGGTGAAGTTTGAAAATAATGAATCGGGATTGAGTCTCACCAGCGGCAATGGAGTGAGGGAGCTCCTTGTGTGCAGTAAGCAAAGGTTTAGTCTCTGTGTTCGAGTGAATTACCATGATTTAAATATTCTCATATGCTCTGTCGAGAGGGGGCGTGGGGCCCTTGGGGTTGGAAAATAGGCAAATGTGAAAATGGATTCTAAAGGGAGGAAGAATCGTGGTGATACCCTTATTTTGGATTGCATACATTTTTAGGTGAGATTGATCAGTCTCACATCAATTATTAGTGAAAATTTGAGCCAAAAATAAGATTTGGATCAAACTCACACTCATAAAGACTTTGTGATATAGTTAAGGTTTGGGTTCATATCATTTGAGTGTGTTGGCGGCAACTTGGAGAACCAAATTTAGCTTTTTTTATCGAAACGGGAAGTGTGATGGCACATCTGTTACCATTCCAAATGGGTGGTCACAGAATTGAACCCCGAAGTATTGATTCTTTAAACTGAAAAAGATTTAGAAAGTATAGAACATATATTACATTGTAAAGAATACCATAATTAAATACCTTCAACTTTATTAGTGGTTACAAGAAATCATCTCCCCAATAATAATAATAAGGTTTACCTCACATGAATAAGAATATAAAATAAGGCTTGATGATGAGTCAACTAGCAGGGCCAAAAAAATATGAAAAATAGAGGGGATAATCAACCAATCATATGTTGTGGAATGCAATCATCAATTTCTACCAAATATAATGACAAATAATTAATTAATAGATGATGATGTGTGTCATGGGACACATCATAAGCTGTTCCAAATTTCCTTTCATAAGCTACCATAGTTTTCGGCTGTTAAAAATCAGGATTTATTATTGATAAGGAAATTTAGTATTTAACAATTGTAAAATCAGTTATGTTGAAATTGAGGATTAGACAACTTTGTCTCCTTTAAACCAAACAAGTCACATCTATATATCATCTTCTGTAGTGATTAACATTTGCATCATTCATATATACTCAACCTATGACAACCTAACTGGCAAATATATTTCACTATGAAAATGTCGTTGCAAGTATAATAGAAATGACTATATGTGTAGTATATGGACCATGTGGTTCAAAGAATCAGAGAATTCATGTACTGTGGACTAAAATGAAATAGAGGATGATATTTTAGAGTATTAGGTGTAAATACCGAAATTGGGAGGGTACAATGTACAAATAATAATATGAATATAAAGTTTAGGGGTCAAGTAATATTATGATACAGGTAAGTATTACACAAAAAGGTTAAGTAGTTGATCTAAGGTTAGTTTAAGAGTTAATTCCAACAATGGTCCTCCGACTATATTGATTTTTCAAAATTAGTCCTTGACTTTTAATTTCGACACTTTAGGTCCCTTGACTTTCAATTTCTTTCCAATTGAGGTCCTTTCGTCAGAATACGGTTAATTGAATTTTAAATGAAGGGGTAAACTCATCATTTCACCTGCCTATGTATTATTCTTAGTATTTCTCCATTGTATACGCGATATATATGAAGATAATCTTAGTCGAAACCCTAAAATGTTCCTCGTCATTCCCCATTTGCTCACTACTCGTGTGTGCGTTTCTCTATTATTGAGATGTTTACAAGGTATAACAGCGAAATACGAAGGGAGAAATACGAAGAATAATACATAGGCATGTGAAAGGACGAGTTTACCCCTTCATTTAAAGTCTAATGAACCGTATTCTAATGAAAGGACCTCAATTGGAAATAAATTGAAAGTCAAGGGACCTAAAGTGTCCAAATTAAAAGTCGCGGACTAATTTTGGAAAATCACTATAGTCGGAGGACTATTGCTGGAATTAACTCGTTAGTTTAACTAGTTAGTAATATATAATCTAATAATAGTGGTTAATATAATATTAGGAATCGAGTAATAATAATACTCCGTAATAATAATATTACTAATAACGATAATTATAATGATTTATTATTAACCTCAAAGCTTAATACTTTTTCCAATTCAAAAGGCAAAACCCCTCTCCTAATGGATCACACAACTTGGATGGCCAACACGATTCATGGGGTGGTATATTACGGTGACTCAACGGCTTATTAGGTAGGAGGATCAGTATTTAGTGCCCATAAGAAATTCATCACATTAGGCGTAACAACTACACTGCGATCAAGACTTGATCTTGTGTCCTTGCTCAAAATCTCCCACCCAAGAACCAACTGAGCTACCCATGCATACCTTTTGCCTTCTATCCTTAATTTAGTTTTGGCTAAGAAGGTGATTTTTGGTCATTTGCTTACCAATGTCATAAGGCGAGATTTACCTAATGTATATCCTCAAATACTGATGGTGTGTTTCCCTTATATTAAAATAAATTTAAAAAAAAAAAAAAAACAAGTGATTTTAGCTTATTGAAAGAAGTTAAACTCGTATTCTATTGTGTGGCATATAATAATTTTATTGGCTAAGATATATCTACTAGACTAGGCAAGAAACTAACTTATATGAAATTAAATTATATGTTAGAAATAGTTTAAAATGATGGGAAATATTTATAAAAATAAAAATAAAATAAAATTGTGCAAGAGCTAGCAAAGTAAAAAAGGAACTACAACTTTATTATTCATTGAATATTGACATATTACAAGAATTTGCGCACAAATGACAAAATTTCCTCGTCTCCAGAATTGTTACACCTCGACTTGACAGGATAGTAGATGAGTAATTACGGTGATTTAGTGATCCATTAAATAAGAGGACCAACCTAACATGATAATAGAGAGGTAAATCACAGTAACTCAACGACCCATTAAGTGTGAGGACCAGTGCTTGGTGCCTACAAGGAGCTCATCATATTGGGTGAAAGTCCAACATTGTGAATTTGTGATTGTCAGAGTTTGGTCCTATGTCCTTGCCCACAATCTGGCATCTGAGAACCAATTGAACTGCAAACACATCTTATAAGAACTACAGTTATGTTTGGTGCATCTAACTGAAAAGTTAGCTAAAAGATGAGAGTTAAATTAAGATTAAAAGTGTTCAATAAAAGTAGTTGTTGAATAAGTTTGTGTGTGTAACCCATTTTGAGATCTATCTCATTGATCTATAGTCTCATAAGATACCAACTCTTTTTTATGTTGTCATTTAATAATAATTTTATTTTTAAAAGGTTATAAAATTGTACTTGCTAGATTTTGAAACGGATGGACTAAATTGAAACATTTACTTAAAGCCATAGGGTCAATTGACAAAACAAATAGCTAGACCCATTTATCCTCAACCCAATTTGTCATCCGACCCAACCCATTTCTATTATGATGGTGGTAGAAAATTAACAGTTGTTGAATTTGTTTAGCGTCTAGAGTTAAGTTAATGGTTTCTTGTAGTTTTCAATAAGTTACTATGTTTAAGGATTACAAAGGATGCTTCTGTCTGCGCTAAGTTACTTAGAGCAATCACATTCATAATTTTTTATGGGCTGTAGTTAATATGGAGGAAAAAGAAAAAATAAGATAAAATAAAATTATTCCTAAATGCAAATTTTGTGTAGGGTTCGTTTATTTATTTTAAATCTCCTTAGAAGTGCGCCAGGCACACCATGCGCACCCAGAGGACGCGTTGAAGTAGGAATTTTTTTTCCTCCCACATTCAACTAGTTTTTTCCTTTTTTTTTTCTCTTTTTTTTTTTTTCACTGTTTTTCTCTCCCCTCCTCATCTTTGTAACGGATAAAAATTAAAAAAAAAAAATTATGTCTATTGAGAATGCTCTTAGGTTAGAATCTATCTTGGCGCAGCAACAACGTTTTGGGCCGGGGGTGGTGTATATGTTGTGTGAGAGACACAATGGTGAAAAGGGATAAACTTGGAGATAGTGTGTCATTTCTCAGAAGAAAAAAAAAGTTAAAAGATCCTATTTTTGAAATGCTATAAGTTATTATTTTATTAAATATAAATTATAATTCGTTTAAATTTATAATATTAAATATAAATTATAATTTATTTATAGTTATACCATGCGCATTTACGTAGGGTTGTGTAGTTGAATTAATTGACTAGAGTAGATTAAATTATTGGGGGTTGTTAAAACTCCTTATAAGCTTTGGCGTAGTTAATTTAGGAATACATTAATTCATGTCTTTGGGTAATTTTATTAACTATAGCAGATACTTCTTCTTCCAAAAGGCCAAAAGGTTGACTCAACCCCAAGGTCGCCCACATCTCGATCCAATAAAATATTTGGGAAGATATAAATCACGGTGGTTCAATGGCTCAGCAAATCGAGTCAAATATCGGTACACACAAGGGATCTATCTACTTTGAGCATAATCACCACACTATCACTGCTGAAATTTAAACATTAATCTATTCTCCCAAATACGTCTACTGAACAATTGAGCTAAGTCCGTATAGACAATTATTTGTAGATACTACTCAAAAGTGTGTATTGAGTAAACTTGACATTTAACTCTAATTATCAAAGGATCACAAAGAGCAAGTAAATCACTCCTTTTGAGACTAGCCAACTTGGTTGAGGTATTTATCAAAATGTTTAATTTATTTTAATAGGTAGCATGCATTTTGTGATATGATCATATGAATGGCTAAATTTGTGGGCGCTCTGAGGAGGCTATATTGTGGGCGATACTGCCGATACAAAGAGGGACAATTGAAACTTGTATATAAAAGCTAAACATAATAAGCATATTTTGTACATATAAGTCAAATAAAAGAGAAAAAGAAGAAGTCTAAAATAAAGGATAAAGAAGGAAATTCCAGAATAGAAAAGAGTAACAATCAAAGCTAAAACGTCACATAACCGCTAGACTAGAGTAGAGTACAGTAGAGTAGACATTCTTTTTTATATATAGGGATGATGCTGTTTTTGTTTTGTTTTGTTGGTTTTTTTTTTTTAATATGGATATGGATTTCACCCACCCTTGCAACTTTAGTTACAATTTCACACCTTAATTAATAATAATTACACAAGCCTTGTGGAGCGGAACTTGACTGTGACGGTGAGAGGGTTGACCATCTCACAAGACAGCCTGAGGACCTCTGACAAGTCAACGTCGGCCGCCGCCTCAAACACAAACTCCTGCAACAGCGCCGCCACCCAGAAGGTGACGGTGGTCAAGCCCAGATTCTTCCCGGGGCAGGCCCTGCGACCCGACCCAAACGGCGCCAGCCTCATGTCCGACCCCATAACCGAGAAGTGGTCCTGAGCCGGCACGTCGAGAAACCTCCGGGGGTTGAATTCCAGAGGGTTTTCCCAGACTTGTGGGTCCCGCGTGATGGCCCACATGTTCACCATGGCCGTGGTCCCCGCCGGCACATGATACCCGCCAACCACCGTGTCCGTTATCGCCAGACGGGCCCAAGACAGCAGTGGCCCCGGCGGGTGCAGCCGAAGAACCTCCTTGATCACCGCCGGCAAATACACCATCTTCGCCACGTCGGACTCCGTCACCGCCCGTTCCCGCCCCACAATCCTGTCCACCTCCTCTTGAACTTTAGATTGAACATCAGGATGGAGCACCATCCTCGCCAGGATCCACTCTATCAAAACCGCCACCGTGTCTGTTCCTCTAAATATCATTTCCTGCCAATATAATGTTAACACCAATTAAAAGCTTTGTCTTGAAACAAAACAATAGTCACTTGTCTTTTGTGTCAATTTTAAATTTAATTTCAGACTATTGAATTACTTAAAATGTAATTTCACTTGATAATAAACTAAATTTAAAATTATCACAAAAGACAATAGACTTGGGCTGAAATTAAATCTATAATATAATATATCCTACTACTTCCTTTATAAAGTAAGTGATTGTTTTTGTAACATTAATATTCTCCAAAATAAGTTAGGCAAAAAGTTATAGTAAATCTATGTTCCAAAAAATATATATAATTTTTTTTTTAAATAAATAGAAATAATAGTTGCTTTCACTAGTGGTTATCAAGACCCATCTCTCTATACGGACAGGGCTTATTCCTCGAGCGAGCAAGGCTTTTAATTTGCATTGACATTACTTCAAATATTCTGATAATTATACCAAATCGCAGGAGAATTATATATATATATATATATATATATATATATATATATATATACGGAGTATATTATAATAGTGAGCTGAAAAGGTTGAAAAGGACTTGTGAATTAAGTGATTAGCTTAGTGGTTACCCAAAGAACGGCTATCATGTCCGATTCTGATAATTTTTCTGAAGCAGGGAGGGAGAGGAGCACATCCACGAAGTCGTTGGGGGTATCGGCGGTTTGGGGCGTGGCGCGGTGGTCGTTGATAATCCGGCCGACAAAGCGGTTCACTTTGGGTACGAGGTTGGAGCAGCGGAGGCGGATTTTTTGAGGATCGAAATCGACGAGCCAAGGAAGATGGTCGGACCAGTTGAGCATGCCCAAGAGATCGTACCCTTCGTCGACCAACTTCCTAAGCTCCGCCGTCTCGGCTGCGGAGGAGGAGGAATTTTCGTCGAGGCTGTATTTCCGGCCGAAGACGGAGCACATCATGTTGTTGAGGGAGGCGCGTTTGGTGGCATCGCGGATTCGGATGCTGTGGCCTTTGGCGGCGGCGAACTTGGCGATCATCTGGGCGGCGATTTCGAACCTCTGCGACTCGGCGGATTTGATTTGCTTGGGGCAGAAGAGATGCGCGGCGGAGATTTTCCTCAGAGTTCGCCAGTAGGCGCCGTAAGGGGCGAACCCTATGGCTCTGCTAAACATCAACCTGTAAGCCGATTCCTTCACCGGCCGGTCGGCGAAGGCAGAGCTGTTGAGAATCTCCCTGGCGACTTCATGGTTACAGGTAACAACCGCACGAGTCTCGCCGAGGCTGAAAGCCATGAGGCGCTTGGCGGCACAAGCCTCGGCCATGGCGGAAAGCTTATGGTGAGCCAAACCCACCATCAGATTCATGCTTCCGATGATGGGAAGGCCAGAAGGGCCAGGTATGGGCGCCCCCCCAGGCGCAGGGTTGATGGGACAGCTTGTCCTCCATTTATGGCGGCCCCAAGCAGGGCCTCCGGGATAAGCCCAATAAATGAAGCTCATGGCTATCCACACCAGAAACACAAGGAATGCAAAGCACAGGGAGTTGACAGAGGTGAGGTACTTGCATTTTGTGGCGAGGGCAAAAACCCACAGGCTTTCTATATCAGTAGTTGTCATCGTGGCCGGGCGGGCTGGTGTTTATGGAGATGGATCGGAGAAGATTTGATTAAGTTATGGTGGAAAGTAGTAGGAGCTCTGATCTTGGTCGAGGCATGAATGGGAGAAGTGGAAATGGTGGGCTTATATAGGGGAGAGGGATTCAAGGGAAATGAAACCAAAGGCAAATTAAAGATACTTGGAGGCAGGTAGGCCCCTTTCAAATATAATTATTAATTTACTCCTATTATTTTAAAAAAATTCTTTCTTTTTTAAAGTACTATTGAACTCTCTTACAATATAGTATTTGTATTATGACATTTCATTTGGTAAGAAAATACTAATTACTCTATTTATAAAATAAGCATGTACAATCAATCATTTAAAAGTTTTTACTTGTTATGATTAAAAGTTATGAATTATTTAATAATGCAAGAAAATGGCATAGGGTAGCCCTGTACATAAGACGGGTTTGGTTTTTAGAACCGCTCACCTGTTCGGTTTTCAGATTACATATTTTGAATTCTATCCGTCTATTTTTAGAAGGTAATCCATTTAGATTTTGATATTTCGGATTCTGTCGGTTTGTTATCGGCTTTTAATTATATTCGGATTTATTTAAAAAAAATACTAAAATTGTAAACTTAACTTACAAATTTCTTATTTACTAATTTACATGTTACAACTTGCAAACTTACAAGTTACAAGTTCATAAATTACAACAAATGTCCAAATTACAACCTACAAATGTCCAAATGTTCAAACTGGCGAACTCCAAATGACCAAATATCCAAAACTCCAAATTACAAGTTACAAGTTTAGAAATTACAACAAGTCAACTACTTCATCCCTTTCAAACTTGAATCAATTCAATGACTCATCAACTTAGGCAGACAGACACTCAGCAATCAGCATTCATCATTTTCCTGTGCAAAGTTAAAACACAAGTTAAATAAGTGTATTAAAGGTACTTGGAAGTTGAAACCACCATCACAGACACGGTTGGGCAAAGAATCGAGAAAGAAAAAAAGGCTCAGATTGCTATGCTTTTATATCAAGGTAGGATTGGGAGCAAAATGCTACTTAAGTTTTGGAATAAGACCCAAAAACTCATGAGCAACATATACCAACTCAAAACCCTTTGTTTAAGACAAATGGTGGAAGCATTATCATAGCCATTGGAAACAATTAGAGATTTGGAGTTAGTATTTATTGAACCTGTAAAGTAGTAATTAGTAAAACTACTAATGAGTAAAAACAAAATGAGAATAAGGGAGAGTGATATACCATATCAGATCACTATAAGACGCATGCACTATTGATTCAATTAATCAAGGCGAAATGCTTAAAGCTTTATGATCTGATACTGATATAGTTATACCTGATAGAAAGGAATCAAGGGCAGTAACAATTCAATTGTTGCTAAGCCATTGTCCCACAATCCCAGTTTTCGTCAGTGCATCACAAATCACAATTCAGTAATTCACATTTCACAGAAAACTGAAATGAAAGTTTCCTCAATCAAAGAAATAAATATTACAGCCTTACAATAATGGTAGGAAGGGAAGAACTAGCACTCCCAAGTCCAGTATTTCCAGTGGCCAACTCTGCAAATAAAAAGAAGTTAATTAAAAAACAAAATCTAAGTTAAAACTAATAAAGTGAATAGAATCTATTAATCTATGACTCTAAGTTACCTTTTTCAAGCATTTCCACATTATCAATATTTTCCTCGATTTGTGATGGTTGATTTGGTAACCTCAACCAATCTTGTGCATATACTAGGGCTTCCACAATTTTAGGAGTTAAGACACTCCTAAATGCATTTAATACCCTTCCACTAGTACTAAATGCACATTCAGAGGCAATTGTTGATATAAGAACTGCTAGCACATCCCTTGCTATTTTAGAGAGAGTAGGGAATCTCTCACTATTTAGCTTCCACCATCTAAGAATATCAAAGTCAACACTGTCCTCCACAATTTTTCACTTAAATACACTTGAAGCTCTGTTTCTTTATTGCTTCCACCAGCCTCCATTCTTTGTCTTTTCAGTTGGCTTTTTAACCTAGACTGAGATGGTTGCAGTATATTTCTCAAACAAATAATTACCTGGAGTATCGGGTTATCGATCCACAGGGAATCGGGGCATATCAAGCACTAGCTACTAATTTATTCTTGTGAAGTTAATCCTAACGAAAATCATGGATGGATGGTTGATTAATTATAAAACTAATTTAAAAAGCAAAGTAGCAGGTTTGTGAAAACAATAAAGAAAGAATGAGATTCTTGGAATTCAAATGTTTAATCACTTAGTGCCAATCAAAAGAACAATATTAAATCTAGGATTAAACAAGTGTGAGAATACAAACAAGGGAAAGAGTTACTCCCATAATCTCTAACCTAAGTGAATATTCACTCCCGTGATATAAACACCCAACAATGAAAGAACAAGCATTCAATATAAACTCTTAACTAATACCATCTCCCGATGTGCAATAGTCAAGAATTAACTCCTTAATCAATATGCCATCTCCCAAGGTGCAATAGTTAAGTGCAATTTTGTGCGCTCTTAATTATTCTCTAACTCCCGTTAAGACATAAAGATAGCTATGAAACGAGTAACTATGGTCATTAGTTACAAGCATCAACAAAACAAAACACAATTGCAACACATTTATAAAACCCAAATATGAATATTATTAAAGAAATCTGAGAACTAGTCATATAGGTTCATTAACACTTTACCCAAGAATCCCTAAGGGGATTTAGCCAAGCATGCATGGCTAAAATATCCATAGCAATAAAATAAAAGAGTTTACAAGCAATCAAAGAAAGTAAAACAATAGACCAAGAGATTCTCCCAAATCTTCCTAGCTTTTCTTCTTTCTTCCCAAGGTAACTTGTAGCTCTTGATTCTCATCTTTCTTGTCTTCAAAACACAGTTTGGGGTCTTCTAGGGTTGAGGGAAGATGGACCTTTTATAGTGGGAGCCAAGCGGGGATGATTTAGGAAATTTCTGCGAAAAAACCGACCTTGCCCAAATCGACTTCTCGACGCGTCGAGATTAGGCGCCGTTTTTTCGGCCCTCTCGGCCGGACTTCTCGAGTTCTCCTAAACCCGAACAACAACTGATGGGGTGTGAACCCCGTGGGCTCGGGACCCAAGAAGAAAAGAGATCAAGCCCAGAAGAAGAAGAGAAGCCCAAGAAGAAAATGGAGCAAGCCCAAGAATAGATATGGGCTAAACCGAGGGGTCGGCTTGACCCGGAGGTCGGCACGGGTGGAAGGTCGGCCTAAAACTAGCCGTTATTCCCACATTATCACCCATGAAACCTATTTACTACCCTATTATTACCCCACTTATTACCACTAGTCAATTACCTAATTATTATTATTATTATTATTATTATTATTATTATTATTATTATTATCCATAACCTCCCAAATTAAGCCATCATAAAGCCTACTAATTACCCTCCAACGGACACTTATAAGGAGGGGAAGACAAGAAGAAAAGGTCACTCATTCATTCATCTACATGTGGGAGGACTCTCCCCAGTACTATCCTATCACTCATTATTCTTTCATCCCTAAGAAAATTCCATCACTCTCCCAAAGAGAATGCACTCTTCCACAACCACTCTCCACTCATCCAAGCAAGAAGACCACATGAAGAAGACTCGACATGAGAAGACTCTACCACTCTTCCACGCATGAAGAAGCAGACTCCATCTCTATGTATCAAAAATAACCATACAACATTACAATACACAATAGAATAGTGAAGTTTTTAGGCTTGGCACCGCCCAAAAAGGCCCGTGGTTTTCACCTTCCGATTTCCACGTACAAAAGCCTTAAGTTATATTTTTTCTATTTGTTTTTCTATAAGTCGCATTGTGAAAGGTGTATCCACCAACCAAGGTTGTGCTGGACCTCCCTGGGCCCAAAAACCCTAAAACCAACACTGGCTCCGTCTGTGGGGACGTGACAAAAGGTCGCGTTTACCTCTTTGTCTGAGCAATTTCGGAGAGCGTCCGGTGGAAAAGATTCACTTTGGACGGAAGATTGAGAAGGTTCACGGAGAACCGTGGACCAAGAAGAGGACTAGAGGAGAATCAAGTAAAGAAGACTGCGTGTCGAGGTCTACGAGAGGTAACCATTATCATTTAATTAGATGTAGTATTTAAATTAAAGTACGTACTCAATAGTTGTTGGCAAGAGAAGGTTCAGTCCATCACACTGAGGGGCTCGGCCAGGGGAATCAAGAAGTCGGGATGCTGAATAAATGGTTCCCCCACCACGGCCTTAACGGTAGACACCATGGTCACAGTTGTTTTTTCCGTTTTTCTCTTGATTATGTCAAAAGCTTTGTTATATTGAACCATATAAGCAGTATAATTCCAACAAGGTTGGTAGAGGAGTTCGACTGTATATATTCCAATCAAATACCTCCAGTTCCAAGGAATGAAAATTTCAAGTTGATATTAAAGGCCGTGTGCTCCTACCATTACCACAAGAAAAGCAGGCATGCCGACTCAATACAAATCAAGTTATTGCGGATTAATCTTGTGCTCACGGGAAGCCGGCAGAGTGTGCTTTTTGCCATATTGAGCTAAAAGTCACGCCCCAAAGTGGAGGTCAAAAAGCAAGTTCCTACTGGGGTGCGTGGAAATCAAAGAAAAAGTGATTTTCTACACAGTTGCCATATTTCGGCACATTTGGCATAAAAGGTGCATATCTACAGTACATGAAAAAAAAAATAGAAGCAAAGGAAATTTTGCATACGAAAAGACACGGCACCAGCACTCGGCATCCCACTCGGCAGTTATAAATCACACCGCATCCCGTAGAGGAATAGAGTATCATCTCCGGCAAGCTCTAGCTCAAAAGAGATGATTGCCGCTGAACTTGGAAACCAAGCATAAAATAATCTCAAGTGCTGAGGGACTCGGCAATGGAGGAGTCAGCAAGCATGTGGTCGGATGCCGAGTCGGCGTCAGCAGCGTTTAAACTCCAAAAAGCCGCAGCGACCAACCGGCAAGCATCATTGATAGTGCCATTATGGAGATGCTCTCACCGACTCCTTCTTCTCCAAACAGGGACTAAGGGTAACTCTTGATTCAGTGTCAAGTCGGTGGAGTCGGATGTTGCTCTCCTTCCGACTCATCCCAAATTCGGAATCAGACTCGGCGGTAAGGATGAA